GTCCCGCCCAGTACCCACCCCATCTCTGGCTGCGCTCCCACCCCCGCGCCAGCCGGACAGGACCCCGCCACCCCTGCCCTGTCCGCAGGCTGGAAGGCGTAACCTCATGGCCCCGGAACGCCCCATTCAAAGGCTCTGCCGCCGTCAGGAGCATCCTTCTGAGAATGTCATCTGGTGACCACGGCCACCGTGTGACCTGCCGCGCCCACAGCCCCGAGCTACGGGAGACTGTGAGCGCCTTCTACCGACTCAACGTGCTGTGTATGTGCGCTGGCCTGGAATCCCTGGATCCCCTCCTGACCTTATATCACTCGGGGTTCACTTTGGCACTGTCCTTGACCTCCATCCTAAACCTTAAACTTTCCTGGCCTTTATCCTGACCCCAGCCTTGCACCAACTCCTATCCTGCCCAAACCCCATCTTGCCTTTGTCCTCTGTCCTAACTCCTGACCATGACCCCCATCCTGAACACTCTCTCCATCCTCAAACCTGGCCCTGTCCTCTACCCCTCTCCTAAATTGGATCCTAACCACTATCCTGAACCTAACCCCCAAGCTCAATTCTGTACTTAACTGTTACCTGGTCCACACCTTGAATCTAGTTCAACCCCGACTTTAAGCCTGCATACCTGTACCTGATCGCAAATGGTCCTGGTCCCCAACCTTAACCACAATCCTGACTCCCCATGGCGCCCCCTCCGCAGACCCTCCAGAGTTCCTGGGGGAGCAGGTGCTTGTGGTGACTGCAGTGGAGCGGGGCGAAGCGCTGCTGCCCGTGTTGGTGTCTGCCAACCCCGCCCCGGAGGCCTTCAACTGGACCTTCCGCGGTTACCGCCTCAGCCCAGGTGCGGGAGTGCGCTCGGAGAGGGGCGCAGGCCTTTGGAAAGGAGCGCCCGCAAACCCCTCTCTCGACTCCCCCAGCTGGCGGGCCCCGGCATCGCATCCTGTCTGGCGGAGCTCTGCAGCTGTGGAACGTGACCCGCGCTGACGACGGCCTCTACCAGCTGCACTGCCAGAACTCAGAAGGCACTGCTGAAGCTCTAGTGCGGCTGGATGTGCACTGTGAGCCCCCTTCATCGCCCGAGGGAACTAGGCAGCTCTGGGAGCCCCGCCCATCATGGAAACCCCACCCACCCGGGAACCTTGCCCACTGTGGAGTCTCCTTATCGTGGAAGCGCTGCCCACCCAGGCATATTCACCCATCCTGGAAACCTCTCACTCTGGCAGCCCCAACCGTAATGGAACCATGCCCAGTTTGGCTACACTGCCCACTAGAGAGATCCTACAAGGAATCTGCCCAGACTGGGGATCCACTTACATGGGAGTTACTCACATCAAGCCCACTGTGGAAGCCCCACCTCCATGCACGTCTGGAAGCCCACCCAACCTACTCTTGTCACCACAGAGGCACAGTACAGAGTGGGACAACCCCGCTAACCCTAGGAATTACTCCAAGTGCTCCACATAGAGGGCAGATTGTGTCATACCCATAACTTCCCTGGACACCTCTATGATACCTCTTCCACCTGGGACCCTCTCTCACCATGGCCTGTCTGGGTCCAAGTGCCTCCCCAAGCCCCTGCCTCCTTCTCCAGATTCTCCCACCATCCGGACTCTCCAGGACCCCACTGAGGTGGATATTGGGGGTTCTACAGACATAGTTTGCACCGTTGATGCCAATCCCATCCTTCCGGGGATGTTCAGCTGGGAGAGACTGGTGAGGATCCAACCTTTGTAAATGGAGGTAGGGCTGGGCAGTGTGGTTTCTTAATTGTCAGCTCCTTGGGAAGAAGGGTCGCATCTATGTGCCATGTATAACTGTACACATGGCAGGGCATTCTCCAAGAACTAACTGTTGAATGGCAGATGAATGGATGGACGAGTGGATAGATAACCAGGTGAGTGGGTGGGCAGGTGGATAGATACGTAGATTGATAGGTAAATGGGTCAATGGCCAGGTGGATGGATGAATAAGTAGATGGAATAATAGATAAACAAATGGACACGTGAATGAATGGATAAAAGGATAAATGGATGGCTAGAGAAATGGTAGACAAATGGGTTAGATTAGAAAGTAGATGGATGGACAGATACTCCATCAGTGTAAAGATGTCTATGGAAGGATGATGGATCAGTGGGTAGAGAGATGGAAAGATGGATGAATTGGTGGACAGATGCATGTACTTATGAGTGTGTACATGTATGAGTGAATAGATAGGACAGATGGGTGGAGACAGGAAAGGGCAAGCAGATGGAAGGATATAAGGAAGACAAATGGTTGGATGAGTGAATGGGTAAATGTATGGATGGATGGAAGGAGAGGTAGATGGGTGGGTAGATAAGTGGGTGAATGGGTGCATGATTAAGTAGATGGATAGGTGGGCAAATGTCTCCATGAATGAATGGTTGGATAAATGGATGGATGGATGGGTGGATGGATGGATGACAGGGGATTTTTTTTCTTTGCTAGCTCTGTGAAGGGTGATTGTGGCTAAGAGAATGAGGCTACAGAAGGGACCAGTATGGGGGATAATGGAGCTGGGGAAAAACTGGGGGCCATCTCCCTGAGTCTTGGGCATCCAGGGAGAAGATGAAGAGGACCAGAGCCTGGATGACATGGAGGAGATATCAAAGGGATCCACTGGGCGTCTTCATATTCACCACGCCCAGCTGGCTCAAGCGGGTGCTTACCAGTGCATCGTGGACAATGGGGTGGCACCTCCAGCCCGAGGGCTGGTCCGTCTTGTCGTCAGATGTGAGTAACACCCATACCCCTGACTTCAAGGCCTGCTGCTAAAACTACAGCTCTCATGTCCTTCCAAATACCTCATGCTGACCTCCAACCCCTCCTAGTTGCCCCCCAGGTAGAACACCCCACTCCCCTAACTAAGGTGGCTGCAGCTGGAGACAGCACCAGTTCTGCCACCCTCCACTGTCGTGCCCGAGGTGTCCCCAACATTGTCTTCACTTGGACTAAAAATGGAGTCCCTCTGGATCTCCAGGATCCCAGGTGAGCCCATGCCCAGCCAGATAGCACTCCAGCCCCAACTCTGCTCCCCCAGCCCCAGTCACCCTCCCTGAGTCCCTGCCATACCTCCTCTCCAGGTACACAGAGCACACATACCACCAGGGTGTAGTCCATAGCAGCCTCCTGACGATTGCCAACGTTTCTGCAGCCCAGGATTATGCTCTCTTCACATGCACAGCCAGCAACCCCCTCGGCTCAGACCACACCAACATTCAACTCGTCAGCATCAGTATGGTGGGAGAGGGCTGGGAGGGTGTCGGGAGGGTGCTTTCTGGGTCAAGCCCCAAGTCTAGTTGGCCGCATACTGGCAGTGTTTCTGAAACCTGAGAAGTGTTTGAGTAAGAATGGAGTTTTTGCCTGACCTGAAAATTCTAATAGAGACTGGGTCTGCAGGGGAACCCACAAAAAATACAAAAAATAAAAGGAGGAGGGGATTTATTGGCCCAAGTAACTTAAAAGTAGCTATTCAGGAGTCACTGGATCTAGGTGCATCTGTCACCAGGAGCTCTTTGCCTATCAGGCCTGCTTTTCTCTGGTTGGCTTTAGTCGAAGGCTTCTCATAGTGGGCTGTTAGACTTCCCAGGGGAAACAGAAAATATCATCCTAACAGTGGTATGAAAGTACTAGAATTAGATTTATTGGCTCTACTTGGCTCCCAGCTCTGAACTAATCATGTGGTCAGGGGAAAGTGACACTCTGGTTGTCCAAGCCCTGTCACATGTGCATCCTATAAGGAGTGGAGTCACTTCTATCAGAAGCATGTGGCCTGAGAATGTGGGCAAATGTTCCTCCAAAGGATACTCAGGGTCCTGTAACCAGAAGAAATAAGGGGAATGGATATAAGATAAGCGCACAAAAAATTCACTACAAGAAACATATACAGTTGATCCAGTCATCCAGGGCGCTGTACAGACTGGGTGAGAAGTGTGAGTCCCCCAGTGAGCACACGCTCAGCCAGGTAGAACAAAGCCACAGTCTCCCCTCTTGTTTCAGCCCTCGTATGTCAATAAGTGTCCTTTTCGAGGTCTATTAGGTGCCACGTACTTTGTGCTCTTTGTTAGTGGTTTGCTATTTACAATGGCCTCCAAGCGTAGCGCTGAGGTGCCATCTGCTGTCCTAAGTGCAAGAAGGCTGTGATGGGCCATATGAGAAAATGCTTCTGCTGTAAAAACTTCTTTCAGGCCTGGGTTAGAGCTGTTGGCTATGAATTCAATGCTAATGAATCAACAAAAATATATTAAATAAGGTGGAACCTCTCAACAGAAAAAACACATTAAACAAGATCATGTAGTGGCTGTTTAATTAAAACACTCTAGTGTGACTAGAGTCTTGTAGGAACCTAACCTTGCATTTCTCCTAGAAACAATGGTTTGGTATTTGCTAATTCAGCGTTCACAGTAACTTTATAGAACATAACCACCACAAATAATGAGAATGGACTATATATTTGAAATCATTCTTAGGAAGATTCTGGAAGGAATCTTCCAGAATCCTCTTGTATCCTCTGACTACTTTCCCCATCCGTTTCCTTAAAGGCCGCCCTGATCCTCCATCTGGGTTAAAGGTTGTGAGCATGTCCCCACACTCAGTGGGACTGGAGTGGAAGCCTGGCTTCGATGGGGGCTTGCCACAGAGGTTCCAAATCAGGTGGGTCCCGGTTATTAAGGCAGAAAGGGTGGGAGCCAACAGGGCTGGGGCACCCCCTTGAGTGACTGACCTCCCTCTCATGCAGATATGAGGCTCTGGAGACCCCAGGGTTCCTCTACATGGATGTCCTACCACCCCAGGCCACCACCTTCACACTGACTGGGCTGCAGCCTTCTACTCGATACAGGGTCTGGCTGCTGGCCAGCAATGCCCTGGGGGACAGCGGACTAGCTGACAAAGGATCCCACATCTCTGTCACCACCCCAGGTCAGAAGGGACAGTCTTGGGCAGGTCGCAGAGTTCCTCAGAGGACTTAAAGGGTGGTATAATGAAGTCAGTACTATTGCTCCCCTTTTACAGATGAAGAAACTGAGGCCCAGGGAGATGAAGCATGTTATCGAAGGTCACACAGCTGAGAGGAGGTAGAGATGAGATTGAAACTCAGGCAGATGATCTCCAGAGACTAGATTTTAGTCACTGAATTAGACTGCCTGAATGCGATTAATGACACAGGGAAACTGGAAAAGAGTTTGAATTGAATAAAAATGAAAACATATGGAAATGGTGGGGTGCAGCTAAAGCAGTGCTTAGCAGGAAATGTATAGCATTAAGTGCTCATATTAGACTGAAAAAAAGTGGCCTCAAGTTGACATTGCAAGTTCCCACCTTAAGAAACTAGAGAAAGAAGAGCATATTAAACACAAAGTAAACAGAAGGAAGGAAATGGTAAAGGTAAGAACAGAAATTTGTGAACTCAAAACCAGAAAACAATAAAGAAAATCAATGAAACCAAAAGCTGCTTCTTTGAAAAGATCTGCAACATTTATAAAGTTAATCAAGGCAAAAGAGAGAAGACACACGTTAAGCAATATCAGGAATGAAAGAGGGGACATTACATTAAGGAGATAACAAGGAAGTATTACAAACAAGTTTAGGCCAAAAAATTCAGCAACTTTGATGAAATGGACAAGTTCTTTCGATACGACAAATGAGAACATTTTGCCCCTGACCAGCCGATAAGTAGTGTCGCGGTTAATCACAGAGTCTTATTCAGACAAGCCTGGGCTCAAGTTCCAGCTCTGCCGAGTCCTGGTTGTGAGACCTTAGGTGAGTTACTTGACCTCTTTGAGCCTCAGTTAAATCTCAGTTTCTAAAAATAAGGTATGCCTTAGTTTCTGAGAGTAAGGTTTATCTCAAACGGTTGTGAGGATTAAGTGAATTAATATATCTAAAGTGTTTAAAACAGGGCCCTGTACAAAGTAAGTGCTGTGTAAATGCTGATTTTTAAGAAATTCCCCCTCTCACCTTCTTTGACTTTGCCCCACTACAGCACCCTCTTTCTGCCTTCCCTTTTCCCACAGAGCAGCCTTTTACTCGTGGGTGGAAGGACACTTCCCCATCTCTAAAATATCCCCTTCTCTCTTTTTCCACCCATTCCAGTCTTCCCTTTAAGAACTAAAGCATAAGCCAGCCGGGTGTGGCTCTGTAGTTGAGCATCGACCTATGACCCAGGAGATCTGGGTTCAATTCCTGGTCAGGACACAAGCCTGGGTTGCGGGCCCGATCCCCAGCAGGGGGTGTGTGGGAGGCAGCCGATCGATGACTCTCATCATTGATGTTTCTCTCTCTCCTTCTCCTTTCTTCTCTCTGAAATCAATAAAGATATATTAAAAAGAGAACTAAAGCATAAAGTACAACATTCACCTCCCTTGCTCTAGAATTTATACCTCTATTAAGGGATCCTGAGAGCAAGCATCTTTTTTAGTTAACCTGAAAAATTGACAATTCAGGTTAAAAGAACCTTGCACACCATAAAACACTCATCAACAATTACTATTATTATAGGCATTGGCATGGCTATTGAGAGTATTATCATTCTTATCAGCAATTTCCAGCTCTTCCTGAAGTATTCCTAAGAAGCCATAAACCAGTTCCCACGAGTCTCAGAATGGGATGAAAAGCTTAGTAGGAGACTGAGAAATATTTAAGGCTTATCCCAGATTTTTGGTGTTAATTCACAATCTCTTTATCCACCCCCCAGGTCTAGACCAGCCTTCTGGAGAATCTGACTACCAACTGCCCACAGAGCAGCCTGCAGGTGAGCCTTCAATCCCCTGCAAATCCCTCTCTCCCCTGAGAATAGAACTTTCTGGCCTCTAACCCTGTCTCCTCTGCCTCACGGACAGAGTCCATAAGGGACACAGTCCCTTAGTTCTGTTCCTGTAGGCCCTAACCCATTTCCTTAGTTCTTACTTTTCCCTGAAAGAATTAGCTGATTTTATACCCCAGGTAGCCCCTGTATCAGTTGGCTTTTGCTGCATAACAAACCACCCTAAACATGGGCACTTATAGCAACAAACATTATTTCTCATGAATCTATGAGCGGCTGAACAGTTCTGCTCTGGGCTACAGGCAGCTGGCAGCTCAGCTGGGACTGCTCGGTCCAGGCTGGACTCCCCTTTATATGCCTGACGATATGGCTCTTGGTTGGGACAGTGGAGATAACTGGGCCACATAGCTCTCCTTGGCTTGTTCACATGGTGGTCCCAGGAGTCCCAAGAGCAGCAAGAGAGGGCAAGCTCTGATTTACAAGCACCTTTCAAGTTTCTGATTCTGTCCCGTTTGCTATTGTCTCAGTGGCCAAGGCAAGTGACCTGGCTTAACTCCAAGTCATTATGGAAGGGGACTACTCAGGAGCATGCATACAGGGAGAAAATTGTGACCATTTTGTGAACAATCCCCTTCAGAGCCTGAGGAAAAGGTTGCAAATGACAGAAGTTTGGCTGTTCTTGGCAATAAAAGGAATTGCTTGGCTCAGGAAATTAAAAATTCCAAGTCTGGCTGGATTTTCACCCTTTCTCAACTTTGCCTTCATCTCTGATGGCTTTTTCCTTCTCAGGTTCTTTCATCAAGGGTACAAAGGAGTCCTACACACACTTCCATTGTTCATTCCACTTCTTAGCAGTCTGCAGAGGAGAACACTTTTGCTAGAAAATGTTCTAGCAAAAATCTGCCTTGGGTCAAATGCTGGTCTCTGAACCAATCACTATGAAAAGAGGGATGGGTGCTGGGCCATGTGTCCTTCCATGAGTCCCGCAGAGCCATACAGATTGAGAGCAGGAGAGTGGCTGTTTCCTAAAAGGAAAATGAGAGCTGTTAGCAGAGGATGGGGAATGAATCCTGAACAGATGTCTACTTAGAGGGACTTAGTCTTGTCCTCAGAGATATAGCAGAGGAGTCTGATATTGCCTGGGATATAAAATTGTGCAAAGAGGAAATCATTTAGGATGGAGTTGGAAGGGTGAATGGAAGTTGAGAAGAAAGGACATTTAAGGGCAGACACTTGACTGTTCCAAAGCTTAGGGGTGTAGGTTTGCCTCAGTGATTCTGCAAAGAGCATTGTTTGTGTGGCTGGAGGGTCTAATACCAGGGTCTATGTTTGGTGGGCAAGGCTGGAGGTGTTGTAAGAGGCCAGATCACAGCAAGCCTTGAATACCCAGCTAAGGAACTGAAGCTCCTGTCTGAGTTCCTACATGGGGCTCAGGCAAAAGTAGGACCCCCTGCTAGTGGCTTGACTTGAGAAAGGAGCCACCTGCCCTGGGGTGGCAAGGACTGGACATGGAAACCCCTGTCCACCTGCTTCCCTGACCTATGAAGAGAGGCTTTGCCTGGTCAGGGATGACCTTTCTCAGAGAACCCTGCTCTGGAGCTACAGCCAGTTGTTTCGAGTTCACTGAGGGGGTACCTTCTGCCCTCAGACTCCTTAGAGCTGCCCCTGATGCCTGTGCTGTTCGCTGTTGGGGGTCTTCTGCTGCTTTCTAATGCCTCTTGTGTTGGGGGGTTCCTCTGGCAGAGGAGACTGAGGCATCTTGCTGAAGGTGAGGAGACCCTTGCCCTGCTGGGGTTGAGGCCCAAGGGTGATGGGGAGCCCTGGGGCTACATTGAAGGTCTTCCAGGAGCAGGTGGGCTTGGGGGATGTCTCTGACCCCTTTTTTCCTACGTCCCTCAGGCATCTCAGAGAAGATAGAGGCAGAGTAAGTGGGGATACTTTTCTGTAAAAAAGGCTCTGAGGGAGGAGGTTTGGGGGTGATGGGTGTCCGAGGGTCAACACCCACTTGCCCTCCATACCTCCATCCTGGAAGGTCGGAGGAGGGCCCAATCGGGAATGAATATGAAGAGAGTCAGCAGACTGGAGACCTGAACAATCAAAGCTCCACGGTGAGTGGGGGCACTCCTGACAGCCCCACTGACAAGGAACTGGCAGAGACTAAAATTCCATTAGCTTCAGGTTAATTATTGACCTATCCAGGGAGTCAGACGATGAAAAGACTTTATCTTGTTTGGGGGGTGTTGACAGGTTACCACAACAGATGTAGAGCCATATTATCACTCCATGAAGGATTTCAGCACCCAGCTGCCACCAACACTGGAGGAGGTATCTTATCCCAGAGGTGAGTTATGACCACATGAGAACTCCCGGCCTCATACATACTCTGACATCTGGACTGGGTGCCCTGATCATTCCTTCTTTTCACTCCAACTCCAGGTTTCACAGGCTTTGGAGAGGAGAATATGGCCTTTCCTGAGAACCTATATGATGAGGTAGAAAGACTGTATGCCCCATCTGGGGCCTGGGGACCCCTCTATGATGAAGTACCAATGGTGAGGAGATTTGTATCTGCAGAAATCTTTCTTGGCTAGTGTCAGAAATCCACATCTTACTACTTATATTAATTAGGGTAAGCTAGCTGTGCTATAACAAGCAGGCCTGGCTATAACCCAGTGGCCTAAAGAAGACAGTCTATTTTTTTCTCACACAATAGTCAGGGATGAGTGGCCCTGCTGCACGTGGTTATTACAGAATCCAAGTTCTTTCCATTATGGTCCCCTGCCATCCCTTGGCACATCATCTGAGTTTGCATGGGTGGGCCAATTCATGGGGGGTTTCAACCAGTGGAAGAAGGAAAAAGAGAGTGTGATGGAGGTACAACTCTGCCTTATGGTCAGGCCCAGAAGTTACATGCTCTACTCAACCTCCTGGTGAGAAGAAGGTCGCATGGCCACATCTAACTGCAAAAGAGGCTGAGAAATGTAGTCTAGCTGGGCAGCTATATGCCTTATGGCATCTATATTCCAGTGGAAGGAAGAGGCATGCATTTTCTTGGATAGTTAGCCTCTCCACTACGTTGGTTAATCAGAGGGATACAGAGAAAAAAATTGTAACTCATTCAATTGCAAAGTCAAGGCACAGAACTGTCTTCAGACCCATACAGCTGGACCAAGAACTTCCTCCTTAGTGATGTCCCCAGAAAATCCAGGTTTGAATCCTATGAGATTGGAAACCTTCAAAGAGAAAGAGTGCCTCTTTCCCAATAACTCCAAAGCCCCGAAGTTGACACTTCTTGGTCTAGCTTGGGTCACATAATTATCACTGAACCACTGAGGCAGGGGATGAAATATGCTAATTAGACAGGCCAGGATCAGTGCCCACTCATGGCATGAGGGAGCAGGAGCCAGCCCCCCTCAGTCGACTGGATTGAGTGGGAGAGGGACAGAGAGCACAGAGAGAGTGAACATGGTGGCAGGACAGGAAAAACAACAGACATTTGACCCTCAACTAACCCCAACCAACTGTCTCAGGGGGGTGGGGCAACACCTGACTTTTGGTGTGGCCTTGGCTAATGCCGGCACCTCTGGGCCAGCGACTTCCCTCTGTAATGTTGTCCCAGATGGGGCACTGTTCTCCCTACCAGGGTGGACAAAACTAGTATAAAATGCTGTCCATGGTGCTGAACCACTTTTTCTGTAAAGGACCAGATAGTAGATATTTTCACTTTGCAGGACGTACTGTCCCCAAAACTACTAAACTCCTCCATTGTAGTGTAAAAGTGGCCATAGATAATACATAGATGAGTGAGGGTGGCTAAGTTCCAATAAAACTTTTTTGGGGGAGACGCTGAATTTGAATTTTGTATGTCACAAATATTCTTCTTCTTTTGATACTTTCCCAGCCATCAAAAAATGTAAAACTGTTCTTAGCTTTTGAACAGTATAAAAGCAGGTAGCAGGCCATATTTTGGCCCATGGAAAATGTGCTGTAAAGTTTGCTGAGCTGCAGCAACCATTTTCTCCCAATCTTAGGGCAAAGCACATCCCCAGTAAGGACCACCCTACGTGGTCTTGTTTCTTTTCTATTTCCACTGATTTTCAGAAAGAGTGGGAGGAAGAGAGAGAGAAAAACGTTGATGTGAGGACACATTGATTGGTTGCCTCTTGCACGTACCCCAACCGGGGCCAGGGGTGGAGCCTGCAACCAAGGTATGTACCTTTGGCTGGAATCGAACCTGGGACCCTCCAGTCTGCAGGCTGATGCTCTAACCACTGAGCCAAACCAGCCAGGCTTCTTTTCTATTTTGATGGGGAAATGTGTTGGCAGTTCATAGTACTAACAGAATCATGACTCACAGTCCACAATTGCCATAGTCGATATCATGGGCTTTTAAGTTTCAGATATCTGACACTTAGATTCTTTTTTTGAATGGAAATCATGAGATATCTTGGACTTGCTTAAAAATAATACAGTTAGTGGAGGTAGAAGATGAGAATATAGAAATATAGATAAATCAAGATTGACCATGTGTTGATATTATCGAAGCTAGGTAATGGTTGCATGGGATCATGATAGGAGTTCATTATAATCACTCTCTTCTTTTTATATGTTGGAATCCCCCTCCCCTGCATAATTAGAAGGAGAAACATTTTTTTCTCTGGGAAGTTGAGTATGAGTGTGTACCCTCCAGAGCTGCAATGATGATCCACAGGGCTTCTCTCTATGGTTCTAACTCCACCTTCATTTGTCAGGACCCCTCTGACCTCAGCTGGTCTGAGGACAAATATGAGGATTCAAGAGGAATCTATGATCAAGTGGCAGGAGACTTGGACTCTATGGAACCTGATTCTCTACCCTTTGAGCTGAGGGGACATCTGGTGTGACAGGTTTCTCAACACCCTTTTCCTACACCTGCAGGACATAACATTTCAGGGGTACTTTTCATTCCAGCCTGGGCTGAACTTGTTAAGTGAGCTCCATAAGACACAAAGGGACTGGATTTTTTCAGGAGAGGACATGGAGGGGTGTGTCAGTGACAAAAAAGGATCCAAGCTGGTGTCAAAGTATAAACAAAGCTCCTCCTGGAATAACTTTTCATCACAATAATGAAAAGTTATTCTGAGGGTTTTTATGCTTTTTCAGAAGTGGAAAAAGACATATTAAAAACTCAGCTCACTTCGAGTTTAACTGCACCTGAAATAGGTAATAATAAGTGGAATTTATGAACTACTGTTGTGTCCTAATTGTTTTATTATTTTCACAGTTATCGAAAACTTGATGTATAAACAATACATACATGCAAACATAAGTAGACTATAGAAAATAAAATAGACTGTCAAAACAACCTAGATATAAATGAATACATACTGTGTGATTTCACTTACAGAAATTGTAAAATTAGGCCAAGTTAACCTACAGTGAGAAGATCAGTGGCTGTCTTGGGCTATGAAAAGGGAATTGGCTGTAAAGGGCATGGGGGAATTGGGGGGGGGACGTGTGTGATGCAAATGTTCCCCCTCGTGATTGTAGTGGTGGTTACATGGATGTGTAGATTTGTCAAAGAGCATTGAACTGTACAGTTAAGATGAGTGCATTTTGTGGTACATAAATTATGCCTCAATAAAGGTGACTTTAAAAACAGGCTCCATAATATAGCAGCACAGCAAGATAATTCTTATTCTTTATATGGAATAGCAGGAAAAGATAACAGAAATCAATTTCCATGAGAACAGAGTATAGTTAGGTATAATCTTCCTTTAGGTCTCCACTCCTATGTTATTGATAATATTATCAAAACTGTTCTGTTCAAATGCTTGTCCATATATTATTTTTATCACTACAGACCTAAAATAAGTTTTCGATCACAGCACTTGAATACAGAAATACAGTAAAGTTCAAGCGATTTCCCTTTCATTAAAAAATGATTCCATTCCTAAGAGTAGAGTTTTTCCAATCACGCATTTTTCTAAGAAGAAAGCTACAACATTTGTTTCCGCAATAGCTAAGCAGGAACGGTGTATTTATTGGCTTTTCTAGCTGACATTCTTAGGGGAGTGTTAACTTCAAACGCTACTGGGTCCAGTATTGAAGCAAAGCCACGAGAGTCAATCTCTCTGTCTCTTGGCTCTGTTTTCCTCTGTGTTGATTTCATTCTCAGGTAGACTTCATTTGGAAGACGAAGGTGACCATTTCCAGTTCTAGGCTGGCATTCCGCAAGCTCAGTAGCCACAGTGCCTCTTTTGCCAATAGTTTTGGGAAATCCCGGGGCTGTCTTTCATCAGCCTGGCTTGGGTCTTATGCCCATCTCTGAACCAATCATTGTAGCCAGAGAACAAAACATGCTGATAACCCAGGTCCTGGGTTGCTCCACACCACATACACCGTTCGGGCAAGGTTCTCCCAAGGAACCTCACGCTGCGACTAGATCTCTTGATGTACTTCCTACTTCTTCTTTGCCATTTTCTGAATCAATGTAGCAAATATCTATTGCTCTGTCTGCCCAGAATCTAGTCCCTCTTAATTTATATAGATATTGTTCAATGAGACAAGTTCCTGGTTACAACAAGCCCCTGGATCCAGCTGAACCTGAACTCAGAGCTACTCTTGGGCTATAAATTCCCATCCCCCTGAAGTCCATCTGAATGAAGCCTTCAGTTAGTTGCAACCATAAATAACCCTCTTCCTTCTGCCAGTTTGAATGGGGTTTTTAGTTAATTGATACAAACAACTTTTATTCTACTTATATCAGTTTCATTTAAGAAAAAGCCAGCATATTTTCAATCATACCAATATTTTTCATGCGTATATATGTTATATTATTCATTTCAGATCATTATAAAACAATGTTTACCCACATGAGTGCCTTCAGGAACACTTTCCCGTTGTCCAGGTTGCGGACACAGTGTCCAGCATTTCTGGTCCCTGACCTCTAAAAGTCTGTAGTGCCCGCCTATCAGTGTGGCAGCCGACGTTTGTGCAAACTGCCCAACTCCCACCAGGGGACGGGACCGCCCCGTTTGAGAAGAGCCCGTCTAGCCTGAGACTCTAAATAAGCTGCTGTGTATTGGAGCCCGGAGTTCTGAGGAAGGGCCGTGCTGCAGATAAATACTCGGTGGAGCCCGGCCAGCAGGCTCAGTGGGAGCGCCCACCCATGAACCAGGAGGCCCCTGTTCGATTCCCGGTCAGGGCACCTGCCCGGGTTTCCAGCTCCAGCTCCAGTGGGGGGCGTGCAGGAGGCAGCCGATCGATGATGTTTCTCTGATCATCCATGTTTCTATCTCTCTATCTCCCTCCCTGCCTCTCTCTAAAATTAATTTTTTTAAAACATATTTAAAAAACAACAACACTGCCCGGCCGGGCGTGGCTCAGTGGTTGAGCATCGACCTGGGATCCAGGAGATCAGGGTTTGATTCCCGGTCAGGGCACATGCCCGGGTTGCGGGCTAGGCAGCTGATCAATGGCTCTCTCATCATTGATGTTTCTATCTCTCTCTCTCACCTTCCTTTCCTCTCTCTGAAATCAATAAAGATATATTTAAAAAATAAAAAATAAAAAATAAATAAAAAACAACTTGGTGGTGGCAGAAGTGTCCTCTGCCCGTTAAGTGGTCACCAAGCCCCAATAGTAAAGGCCAAGCAGCTGTGGGGGATATGGAGGCAAAGAGGGCTGGAGGGGCGCAAAGTGCAGAGGGATTGTCCCAAATCGTCGCTGGGAAATAAGGGTCAAGGCAGGAATGGAGGCCAGTGATATGGGCAACAATAAATCACGAAGGTCACCTTAGGGCATTTCTCCTTAGCTATGGCTGATAGCAGGCCGCTGAATACTTAACAACCGGCAGACAGCATTTGTGAGCTGTTTCCACATGCCAGTCCCTATTCTAGGTTCTTCCCCTTAAGTGTTTTTTATTGATTTTAGAGAGAGAGGAAAGGAGAGGGGTAGAGATATGGAAAGGTCCATGAGAGAGGACCATCAATTGGCTGCCTCCTGCGCGTCCCCGACTGGGGACAGAGCCAGCAACAGGGCAAGTGCCCTGACAGGGAATCAATCCGGGACCTTCTGGTGCATGGGATGGCTCTCAACCACTGAGCCACACCAGCCAGGCCTAGGTTCTTTTTCTGTTTCCTCTCCTGGAACCATCAGAATCGCTCACTAGCCCTGTGGTTCTGCCACCCAGTGTCCATTCACCGCTTTCCATGGTGACTCTCGCAGGAGGCCCTGCTTAGCCCCCACCTCAGCCTGGCTTTCTGTGTTCTAAGTTGCCCGCTCTTCTCGGGGCTCCATGAAAGGGGCATCACCCGGACCTGACCTGAGTATCTTCTTCTCCAGCCCCAGGGATTGACTCATGGTCATCAGGTGACCCACTCAGACGGATGAGAGGACTCTGACCCCACAGCTGTTCTTCCACTTACAACTGTGCCTCTCGCCACAAAATGTGTGACAACCCACAGAGGGACCATCTGGGAACATTTGTCAAGAAGCTTCCATGGCCATAGCTAGTTTGGCTCAGTGGTTAGAGCCTTGGCCTGAGACTGAAAGGTCCCGGGTTCAATTCTGGCCAAGGGCACATACCTGGGTTGCAGATTCGATTCCCAGCCCCAGTTGGGGCTCCTGAGGGAGGCAACCAATCCATGTGCCTTCCTCACATCGATGTCTCTCTCTCTCCCCCCCTTCCACTCTCTCTGAAAAGCAATGGAAAAAATATCCCCTAGTGAGGATTAAAAAATGATAATAAAACAAAATAAAAAGAAAGAAACTTCCATGGCTGCTGCTGAGCAGCACACTGTGTTCTGCCTATTCCGCCGGGCACTCAACACTCCCCACCTAGGCCGTCCCCTTCCCACACTGTCTTCTTCAGCTTCGCTTCCCCCCAGTTCTAGTTTTGTGCTTCTGGGAGGTTAGAATAAATGCTTTTCTTCTCTATGAGCCAGTTATTTCTACCTCCTTGCCTTTACTTTGTCTGTGATGACCAACCATTCTTTTCATTAAGAATTTGTGGGGAGTCTAGTCCATGCTATTGTTTAAAAATGAGTAAAGAAGCCCTAGCCCGTTTGGGCATAGAGGGCCTGTGGACTGAAGGGTCCTGGGTTCGATTTCGGTCAAGGGCATGTACTTCGGCTGCAGGCTCAATCCCTGGCCTGCCCAGCCCAGGCTCGTGCGGGAGGCAACCAATCTGTGTGTCTCTCTCACAACGATGCTCCCCCCCTCCCTCTCTCCCTCTCTCCCTCTCTCCCTCTTTCCTTCTCTCCCTCTCCCCCTCCCTTCCACTCTCTCTGAGAAGCAATGGAAAAATATCTTTGGGTGAGGATTTTTTTAAAAATCAATAAAGAAAAAGGAAGAGACATAGAAAATACCTGATTGACTGGGCCACACAGTCAACTTTGTTTGGAACGAGGCGGCCTAAAGTTGGCTTGCTTGGCGCTGGGGGGCTGGCGACTGAATACACTGCGCTCCTGGTCACAGCGTTTACAGGGACATGCAAGTTAACTAAGTTTTGTTTTGCTGAGATGGCACCCCAGGCAGAGCGGCTCCTTCTTGGGCCTAGAAATTTATTTCAATACTGTACTCCAGATGATGCAGAGATACAGAATAGCTCCAGTTACCGCCAATGTTATACAATTTCATTTTGATGTGTTTAGTCATGAATTTCTTTTATTTCTCTAGTTTAGGATATGCTTGTTTCTTGGGACTATGGATTTATGTTTTTCATCAGTTTGAGAAAATTTTCAGTCACTATTTTTTCAAAGATTGCCTTTCCTGCATTTCCTCTAATTTCTGTTTGGAAGACTTTCGTTTGATATTCAATGTATCTTAACCTCTCACACATTCATCTACTTGGCTCTCTGTGCTGTGTAATTTCTTCTGATGTATCTCAACAATTCTGTCT